GGAATGCCAGAAGGTGCAAGACTTAAGAGTACAAAATTCAGGCTCTGACAAAGGTGCACTCAAAGGCTAAAGTATAAGCTATTTTAGTTTGACCATCTAAAAAACATGATTAGTCAAGTAAACCAAAAGCTTAAACTCCTTAACCTGCCAGAGACCGCATACTTTACACAGCACTGCTATAACTACTTCAGAAGTTATTTTACTTGTCCGTGTCATAAATTGAGGGTTGCTGAAGTATCAGAGTTCAGACAGTTCAAAGGATTTGTAACTTTCTTCACTTCTAGTGTAAGTATGGTTTCAGCTATACTATCTCACAGTTGACATACAGATTCTTCTCTATAAAGTGTATAAAATAATTTTAAATTCATCTCCAGTTGAGATGCAGATATATCTGAGTGATGACAATCAGACTTTTAACCCAGGGAAAGAAGCTATTTCTTTGCAAGCATGCACTTGCAGCCAAGACTATCATTGCTGTAGCTTATCTAAAGATAAGTCACTAAGGCACCTTTGAAAAACATTAACTGGAAATTAAGATGTTAGATTAGCCTATCAGCCACCAAAAGTTGATTTTTATGTTAAGATATAATAGTCCTAAAGCTGGTAATGAAAGATCCAGATTCCTGGATTTGAGAACCATAAAGTTTAAAATACTGGATTTTGTAGTTTCTGGAAAGATTTGTCACTTGTACTTCCATTATTCCACTATGACCTCAAAGTCTAAGAAATCCATGTTCATGGAATCATAGAATTCTTCGGGTTGGAAGGCACCTTTAAAGGTCCAACCCCCTCTGCAATGAGCAGGGACATAGAATTCTAGCTACTGAGTTGCAATAAAAGACCTAGGACAAGTTATTTCATATCTAACAGAATCAACTGCCCAGCTCTTCATCCATGCTTCAAGAGTAATGTAAGTTACCAAAAAATCTGAAAAAAAAGTGCTGAGAAAAGACATTACAAGATAAAGAACAAAGGAAACTGAAGCTTGCATGCATAGTAAAGGAGAATAGTTTAACTAATGCAATTCCTACTTTATAGATTTAAAAATAAAATGTTAAGGCTGTGTTTTAGAAGTCCAGGGAAGCGAATTTTCGGCACTGTGCAAGTTTCTAAAGCATTCTCTCACTATCCCATTTTTAAATCTTCTAAGTCAGAATTTAAGCATATTCTAACTTCTAGGCCAGTAAGCTATCCTTAGAGTTGAAAAGAAAAACTGACTGCTTTCCAGCGTGAAGAGAGGGAAAAAAGTGTCTCACTGAAGTTCTAACTGAACAAGAGCTATGTAATTCTATTTTCAAGCATTCTAGCGTTCTACTAAATGGGCTACTGCAGGCCAACTCCAAAAAAAAAACTCCAGTACAAATTCAGGTCCTTACTCTGATCAAGTATGAAAGCAGCATTGCTTTGTGCAACTTCGTAGCCTTGTTCTGCCAAAAGAAGATACTGAACCACAGCAGAATTTGAATCACCATCTTTATAGCTGTTGTAGGCGGTCATCAGTCTTTCAGACCAACGTCCCCGTTCACATACGTTCTTAAACAACTGCAGAGAAAAAAAAAAAGGGAGGGGGTGTAGAAGACTGGTTGTCAGGAAGTTCAGAAATTTAGGTTTTGCAGGAGGTAAATGTTTAACATTCAAATGTCCATTCAAAATATTTACATTTCACAGGAAAACCTTGATAGACAAGCTCACTGCTTAAGACAGGCTTACTTTAAGATACAGGTTACTATGCAAATACATGCCAAGATTCAGATGCTTACTCAGAATTATTCTTAACATCAGCTTTTTTGTTATGCTTAAACCCATGTCTAAATGAAGAATTCAGTACTTCGAAAACACTGGTGTTTGCTTTGTATTATATTCTTTTGATTTTCTTCAGAGTTAATAAAGCAATTACAAATTTGCCATATCAACATAAAAAAATACAGATTTTTCTCATGAGATACAAAGGAATTGGATAATATATCACTTTTCCTTTTGCTAGCCTTGGCTCTTCAGTAATCACTGAATTTCAGTTGAGACAAATTTCCTATATAAGCTGACATGCTTATATCCAACCTTTTGCAAGTCAGTACAATTTGACCTTTATAAATGGGTGTCCTTACTTCAACAGCAGTATGACAAGATCGCATCACTCCAGTGCCAGTAGCATGCATCTGAGCGAGATTATAAAACGCCAGAATGTGGCCACCCTGGGAGGCCAAGTTAAAATACTTCAAAGCTTGCTTATAGTCTCTCTTGACTCCAATGCCATCTAAAAGAAAGAATAAGTAATTATTATTCACTCCTCCTGAAAAGCAGAGTTGTATGAAATAATGTATGTACTTACTCTTTAAAAAATATTTAAGAAAGATTTTGTGAAAACATTAGGGAAAAAAAAGACAACAAATTAAAATATAAAGTCAATGCAGTAAGACCATTCTACATGCAGTATATGTACACTTCTAATGCCACCTAGTGAACAGTTACTGAAAGGGCAGATGCTTAGACCCAGCAAGTCATCATTTTGATGCCACTTACTGTAATACATGGAACCTAGTTGAAGTTGTCCATCAACCCATCCCTGTTCTGCAGCCTTCTGGAAATACTTCAGTGCTAGCTCATAGTTCTGCAGGAAGATTTACTACAGTCATTACAACCTTGCAATACACCACAATTTAAATAAAGAAAGAATATGTGTGCACACGGGCACAAGTGCATGGGCAGATCTATATTACAGAAAAATTACAGCAAGATGGTCTAGTGCAAAAATATTCACCCGGTCAAAATTTGGAAATAAACAAAAAATGAAATAGCCTACAGTAATATAAGCATATCTTAAGTCTATAGCTATCTCAAAGCTAGCATCCACATGTAACATTGCTATGAATAGTTATGTTTAACAGAACACATGCCTTGTTCTGTTTCTAGAACAATTATTTAACTCATTTCCTCAACTTCAGACTAATTCAACGTTTGAATATCTGTTTGCATAGCTAAATATAAAACTTTTGGCAAAAAACATTCTTGGGGGAAAAGCAACAAGGCAAATGAACTAATTAAAAGTTTCAAAGTGTTCCTCCACTCTCAGAAGAGACACAAAACGGGGACAGTTAGGATTTATTCCACAAGAAAATTAGAGCTAAGTTCAAAACTCCTGCTAAAAATTCACACTGCTATGCATTTCTAATAGCTTCAGCAACACTTTCGAACTTATTAGAGGGAACTCAGCAGGTTTCATAGACGATAACTCCATAGCGCATTTTTTTTCTATTACAGATTTCCTCATGGAGTCTTCAGTGTAACAGAAATCTCTACAATTAAGTCTTCTACAGTAATTCCCTCCAGAAAAAAAGTTTGTTGACAACAAGGTTACACAATCACCTATGATTAGAAAGACGACTGTCAAAAGCTTACCACTGGAACACCTCTTCCATAGAGGTAAGCCATTCCTAATCCACTCTGTCCAACTGGATTACCCTGAAAACACAGGAAAACATTTCTGTAAAGAAAGGGATAGGTCAAAAGACAGACATGAGGTATTAACATCCAAAACCCAAACATTCCAATGAGATGAAAGGTACAAAACCAAAAAATGTTATCTATTCACTGACCACAAACCAGAACCAAAATAACATAGTATCAGTGCACTGCAAATTTCTATGACAAGACAACTTTGGATTAATGAAAATTAACACTTAACAGAATTGCAGGCTAATTAGGTGGACAGTATTTCATACTGATGCCAGCATTCATGAGAGTTAGACTCCTTGTGCTGAACACAGCTTTGTGAAGCACCATGACCAGCACTAGAGGCAGTTTCTGACATCTTAGACAAGCAAGGTTTAATTATGGGCTAATCTGTGACGGAAGCTGGGAGCAGGTGTATGCACATGGAAGTGCACAAAAGCATTTACAACATTTCCAAGCTAATCAACTTTTTAGTGCATACGCAGTATTTCTAGCTTACAGATAATCATACCATATCAGCAGCTTTCTTGAAATACTGAAGAGCTGTTTCATTACTCTGAGGTACAACATCACTTCCTTCTGAGTACATCTGAAAGAGAAAGGCATTATTGAAGAACAGCTGAAAAAGTCAGTTTAGCATGGAGCATCTTTAGTTTGAATATGAGAGGGAGTCTACTGTATTATTAGACTATTCTGGCTATTGCATTACTGAATAATCATTAAAACACTTGCCTAGATGCAGAAAACACTTCTCTATGCTGTAAAATTCAGATTCGGAGGGTTTAACTTTCTAATGGAGAATGAACTGCCCATAAAATTAAAAAGTTTGCATGAAAATACCCTTCATTTTTAAGTTCTACCAGTGTGCAGTGAAGAACACATAATCAGGCACAGATCTAGTAAGACCAGTGGAAGCCAAACTATATCAGCCGTTAAAATGCTTCTTGAAATCAAAGCAAAAATTGGTAACTAAACCCTGTTCACTTCAGCATTTATTAGATGCAAAATATTCAAGGCAGTAGAGAAAGCAGCAATGCAATTTTTCCTGTCAGGAACCTTGACCAGCACATTATGCATTTTTTTTCATGCTCTTTCTAAGCACATGAATTTTGCATCCTCTACTGCAGTGACAGCCTGAAAAAGATGAGCTAGAGCTGCTGCTTACAGCAGCCTAACCTTAGAGGCTACTCAAACACAGTAATAAGGATTTAGCTCCTCACAGGGTGAGGGAAGCCTGAGATCTGGGTTACAGGCAAGTGACCCAAATACCTTTCTAAGCAGTAGCACACTAACATCGCCAATAGCAGCTTGTCAATCATGTTTATAGATTAAAAAAATTGACTTAAATCTGAGAAAACTCATACAATGGCCCAAGCTGCAGACAGACTCGGATGCCTCAGTCTCTACATAGAGTAAGTATACAGACGTCTTCCCCTTTTCCTTCTTGAACTTACTACTTCCCACTAAGCAAAATTTTGAGAAGTTTAGCCTTTCCCTGCACACTGTATGGAAGAGCACAGTGGCCTATTTGGAGTTTTGAGCTTCACCCCAGAAAAAGGGCATTTAGGTATTTAAGTGTTTAATTTTTGAAAAAAAATCAAGTTCAAGCACCATTTAGAAAAAACAAAAGTTCCTAAAGTAAAGGAGCAAGTAGAGAATTTAGACTAGACCTAATAGACTATGACACTCAAATCTTGCAGGACAATTCAAAACAGCGGCAAAACAGAAGTACTTAGATTCCAGCATTCAAGTTTTAGACTTCCTGATATCAGAAAGTAGGAAATATTTGTTACTTTTCATTGAAAGGTAGTCAATTTAGTTACTTTTGAGAATGTCCATATCTTACCTTTCCTAGAAAGGCCATGGCATGTGAATTGCCAGCATTAGCTGCTTGATTGAAGTACTCAAATGCTCGCTGTAGGGAAGGAAACCAGTATTTTAGCCACCATGACTATGATTTGAGTACCTTTTCTTGCAAATGGAACAGAGGTGAGTAGGTTGTTTGCTAAGTTACAAAGTTCTTCTGGGGAGAAGAGTTATCTGTCCCACTTATCTCTGCAACAAGGATCCCCACTTATAATTGGAATATTGAGCTGTATTCCCTCTCAACAGCGTATTCCAAAAAGTAGAGGAAAAAAAAATACTACAACTGCTACTACGCAGAAGCTACACAGGTAAATCTTACTTCCTTCAGTTCTATTGAATGCGTTAAGTTTTATTGAACAAATCTATGGAAGTCGTTAAATACCTTATGGTGGTACTTAAACACTTTTGCTTCACTGATCTCAGCTATAGTTTCTCCTCTGGTGCCAAGTGTAACATGGGGGAGAGATATACAGAAAGGGTACCTGATGATTTTGCTCTACTCCTCTTCCTCCATGCAAGTGCAACTGTCCAAGGCCAACCTAAAATTAAATTCCATATTGCAAATAAGTCACTTTTCCCTAGAGAGTTTCTTCTAGCAATGCAGACACCAGTGAGCTAATTATGTGCATGAAGATGGACCATACCAGAGTTAAAAGATGCCACAAAGTCTGAAGGCACAGATTTGCTTCAATAACTACAGTACAGTCCTATTTTTTCACATTAGCCTAAGCAGAAATTTATCCTAGATAAAAGTGATGTGACTGTCCTAGATACAGAATAATCATAATTCATTTGAATTCTGCCTATCTAATTCTTAAACCATATATGACCAAGTTGAATTGTGACAATTTGCCTATATTAGTGTCCTCCTTTCCTGCACTGTGTGTAGAAGAGGTCTAGCCTGCAGCATGCAGAAATCATGTAGAGCAGAAGCAGTGAGAAATTGGGTCCCCTGTCAAGGCCAGTTCTTTTGATCAAGGCTTCCTCCACAACATCTAAAGCTATCCTTAAACTAGCCTGATTTTACTGAAAGCCAAGATCCTCTTTCCTAAGATACTAAAGTTGTAATACTTTGGACCTATTTTCCACAAAAATTTTCATTTTCTGTCCAAGTTCTACCTCAAACACACTAAAATATAAGCCTCTTCTCATAAAAAACTAATCAGGAAATAGCAACCAGGTTGATTTAGAAGGAATAGCAAACTAAAGATCCATCATCTTTCCAGATTTCATAAAACTCTTCCTGTAATTCTTGAAAACCTCTGCATGTCATAAGGTGAAGTTAGCCTTACCTGTGCTTGTACATCTCCTTTCTCTGCTAAAAACTGGTAATACTGAATCAAGTCTTCTTCTAGCATCCCACTTGCCATTCCTGGATTTTCTACTTCATCTGCTAAGCGAATTCGCTGAACCACTGTGCCACCAGTCAAAGAAATGTCACTAGCAACTGGAAAACACATAAGGAATTTTCAGACTGTTTTGTTCAATACAAATATTACACTGCAACTTAGCAAACACAGATCTCTACAGAGCTTCAAACTGTTACTCAGAATGAATTACTTTGACAGTCTCTCTGAATTAAAAATACTTCAATAGATAGAGATAAAAATAGCATATCATGATTCAAAGCCAAACAGGTAACTTGTTTAATAGCAGGAATTCTCTATTTTTGTACTATTAGTCTTGATAGTACTTCTAGTACCTTCTAGGTGAATGACATAGAAACACATAGAAAGTTAAGAACATTAGCCTAGTGAAAAGTTTTACCGTGATTAGCTACGAGTCGGTAGTGAGTGAGAGCAGATTCACAACTTTGAAGAACTCCTATCCCAGCCCAGTACCGGTAACCCTAGAAAGGAAAATACAAAAACATGGGACTATAGGTTATTTGACAACATACTGCTTGCCAGGTTACAAACTTTTTTCACATTACTTGAGCAAGATTTGACAAGACAATAGACAAAACAAAGGCCACAAGTCCATTGTGTCTCCATGAAAAGCAACTGACTGATACCGTTCAGGGTTAAGCTTAGCCAATATACTTCAGGTATTACTCAGGAAAAAGCAAGTAAGTAGAACAATACTTATGCCTAAAGCCGTTCACTTACACATGTTGCACTTTATTTGTCTTAAACCTCACAACACTGATTAAAACAGCATCTTCTCTAAAGGGCTTTCACAGTTCTCATTAGCCTACAAAAATCAAAAGTCTGACACTTCTGCTTTATGTCAAGAGATGTAAACATGTCCATCTAAATGCACAGTGGTATACAGCTTAAAATGAGCAGACTTTTCCTTCAGTTCACAAGGAATAACAGGGAAGATACTATTGCCCACCGAATGCATGCATGATCTAATATTTGGACAGTGTATTCACATGAATGCAAAGCTTACCTTAAATTTTTAAGAGTACAAAAAAAGTTCTCGTATGTGTGAAGTTATTAACTATCTTACTTACCAAGATCATATGGGCGATCAGATTTCCTCCTAAAGCTCCAAAAGTGTAATACACCAAGGCCTTAAAACAAAATCAGCAGTTATTTAACATCTGCCTCCAAGATAAAATACAAGAGCACACAGTGAAGATTTCTAAGTTACCTTAGCTTGACTAGAATTGACTCCTAGACCAGATGCATACAGAAATCCAAGAGCCTAGAAATGAAATAAAGTTTGTCAGCACATCCTCTGAAAAATCCAGGACCAGTTTTCCTGGAACACATAACTATAAAAAAGCTACAAAGGATATGCCAGGTTCTACCTTCACTTTGGTACCTCCTATATCTAGGCCCTTCCCTGCCCCTTTTAAAATAAATAATTTCTAAATTATTCAGTTGCCTAGCACTAACATGAATACATCTCACCAGAATGCAGTCTAGTGGATCAAATGCAAGGAAGAAACTAATACTTCCCTGAATGCCAAATGTAGATCCAAAGGTCCTGGATAGTAAAAGTATCCCAGTTTAAAGACCCTCAAGTGAGTATCAGCAATATCTATCAGGTTATTCATGCATCCTATTTGTCTCATATACCAGTGCAAACATACATGAACCATGACCTTTTCTAGAAGAGTTTTACTGTTTGATTTACTGTCTAACAGGCCCTATGAATTTACTATTCTGCATCTGAGTTTTGCCAGGGGTTAGTTGCATTTATGAGTATAAATATAAGCAGTTAGAATTCACAGAGATGTTTGGCTGAGGTTTTTCAAAAGTTATTTTTACTCTAAAAATTTACATAATTACTGCTCTATCTATAACACCTGTTACAGCTGTGTGGCTCAGAGAAGAAACTGGTAGCACAGAAGATAACAGTATATATGTATATAAAGGTATATGCACCGTGTTCTAAGACTATTCTAGGCAATTCTGAAAACACACCAAAAAAGAAAAATCACCTCATGCAGACAGTATCAAATTCTAGATTGATAAAAGTCAAGGTCTTCATTGAGATACAAAGTCTCTAGGGAAAACATGTTCCTACTTCCTATGATAATTCAGCACTCCAACATTAAACAGAGAACAGCAGAAGACTTGGTAGTCAAAGAACTAAAAAACTGTGTAATTCCCAAAGAAGCTGACACTTTCAAAAGAAAACAGAGAACTAAACAATAAGCATATGCAGATATCAAGACATTAAAATAGATAGCACCCACATTTTATGACATTACATGTGAACAATTATACATGAACAATTCTATAAGGGCCTGTTCAAAGGCCACTCACAAAGTGAGTCCCATCCCACTAAACAGCTTTCCTGGGAGTTTGTAACTTGCTAGTTTATAAACTTGTGTGTGTGTACATCTACCTATCTCAAAGATAGAACTGCAGATGAAAAGCCACAACATCCCACACAAACCACAAGAAAAAAAAAAAGTAACAGTTTCAGAGATTTGTTGACTGGAGTCACCTGTATCTACCTGTTTTTTGACTTGTACATCTAATCTATTCAGTCATATAACAGATAAGAAATTAAATGAAAAGTCCACCACTATACTATGTCACTGGTAGTTTAATGTTTTGTGTTTTGTTTTGTTTTTTTTTTTTTTTTAAATTCAAAGAGAAGATCTGTTTCCATGTGTTAACCTTGAGGGTGCAGGTGCCGTTTGTTACTGCACCCTCAGTAACACTAGCAGCATGCAGAAGCCAGGTAAAGCAGAAGCATTTGGGGGACAATCTTTGAACCAAAGCAAGTTACTAGTGAAATTTAAGAAGGTAAAGGCAATAAGTCGTCAGGATTAGGAAATGCTTAAGCAAGCATTAATAAAATACATTTCCTGAATCAGAGCCTGAACCAAACGTTTTACATCAAATTTCCAAACAATTTTAAAAAGCAGCACTCCATCTGCTGTCTTTTTTAACCAGGTAGATACCACTTACTGTTCTCCTTCTATTACAGATGCAAGAACAATCTATAAAGCCACCTTAGTTTTATAGATTGTACTTGTTCTATTTATAAACCTATGAAAAACTCCTGTAGAGTCTAAGTATACACATACCATTTGTCCTTTAGGAGAACCTTCTTCTGTTAGTTTTTCAAATAGTTCTTTTGATGACTGGATGTTCTGCTTCAGGTAATCCCCAAACAACAAAGCGTAAGACACTTTCTCCATTGCCTTGGTATGATTCATGTCAGCTGCTTTCAGAAGATATTGATATGCTCTTAAAAGAAAACAATTGCTTAGTCACCTTGACACAAAAAAACAGATTCCATTCATAAACCCGAAGATTCTGGGGAAGGGGGTTGTTCCTCTGTTTTAGCATCTATTTGCTACAAATGCATCTACCTAGAGTCACTTGTTCCCGTGTCAATCTTTGCAACAACTCATATGATCCAGCTAATAGACACACTGGATTGTGAAGTTCACTACTCCATATGCAAAGCAGCATGCATTTCCTCCCCTGTAAGTTATACAAAACATTTAAGGTCAAATGATCACGTTTTTGTAGCAATCATTTTAAGTCCTGTACTAAGTATCTAGTAGGACCGCTACTCTGACAGCTTCATAGATCATGATAGAAGCAGCCTGAAAAAGACTATGGAATCTCTTAGATTTGTTGAGTACAAAATCATTCCAACGAAACACGAAGTGTTGGGTCCAAGACAGCTACATACATGATCAATTTAGTGATGAAACAGTCACGCTAACAATGAGAAAGTTCTTTGGAAACTCCCCTTTCTATTTCAGCCTCAGAATTTACAGTAGTCCTCCAAAGTAATTTCACAGCTGCTGGTGTCACAGCAATTTAAAACACTGTAACCTTAAACATCATAACACAGTACCATCAAGCATGCTTCAGCTTGATTTCCCCCGGATCTTTGATAGCATTCCAAGATTTTTCTTCACCTCTCCTCCTTTCTATTCTCAGACTTGTTTTCTTTCTTTAGGACAGGCTGAGGCACACCTGGTTCCTCACATAATTTCGTCTTCTAAGAAAGTGTAAGGTCTTCTAGAGAACTAAGGTCTAATATTGTTTTATAATTCCTGCACTATTTTACACAAAAGAGTACTAGCCAGAATTTAACAGATACCGTCTCTCTTTGTCTTCGCCAATGTGTGATGGATAACCTCTAGCTGTGCTTCAGTTTTCCTGATTCATAAAGTAGAAATACACTCCCTTATCTCCTTGAACAAGTTTATTATGTGAGCACTGTTACCATGTTCATCAGCAGCATGAAGTTACCACTTACTGATGAAGCTGACAACATGAGTACCAGGGAGTTATAAATTAACATAAATATTCTTACTTATAGTGGTAAGCTGACAACTATTTCATCAGTAATTGGATATACACACAGTAGAAAGTAAACAGACCAAAATGAAGAGAACACTCATTTCTTTTTTTCTTTCTGTTTTCATCTACAAGCTTTACTCTTCTCTCATACAATGTTAATTATTAGAGTTTTAACAATTTGTTGAAGTTTATGGTGACTAAGAACATGAGAAAGCAGAAACAAAAATGGAACAGGACAAGAAATGCTGATTTTTCCCACTTAATCTTTGAAGCAGAATAGAACCAGATCGTAAGAAACATTTGGAAAAGGATAATTATCTTATATCATATTCTCAGTTTTTTTTCCTCAGCAGTTGCCATATATAAATTATAGCTAGAGAACTGCAGTACCATCTTGCATTAAGTCAATGTTTTGACAACATCCACTCTTCAGAAATTAATTGTATACAATTTTTAGTGGATTCAGAAGAAAGTAGGCATACATTTGTTTCACTAAATACCCTGAAATTACTATTTATTTTCAGGACTATCACTGCATAGTTTGATGCCAAGTCCAATGAAGTGCAAAGTCTCAGGGTATCTCACTTAAGTTACTTTTCAGTTAAGCGAGAGTGACCAGCCACATCATCACACTCTTGTGGGGCTGGAGGAGATAGACTTACTCTTTCTTCTGAGCCTTTTTACTGCTTTCATTAAGGATTTTCATTCCAGTCTGATAAACATCCTCAGCTTCTTGCATCTGCCTTCTCTTATTAGATTGCTCTTCAGCTAAAAAACAAAACAAAAAAACAAACAAAACAAAAAGAAGAGTACATTAAGAGCTCCAATTACACAGCTCAAGACTATTCTCTCAAAATTCCTACTGGTTCTAAAGGGAAAATACAGACAGAAATATGTTTCTGAAGACCAATAAACAACCCAAGTGATTATAAAAAGCTGTCTAAAGGACTTGTTGGATATCTTGGTAGACAGTTTCTTCTTATGTGATGTCTCTCATGTCTCAGTTTGCTGTTAAAATATTCTTTTCATTGCTCCAAAGCAAGCTGTGCAAGGAAGAAAGGTTCCTCCTTCAGGAGGATGCTTCTTAGAGAAGGGTTGCCTTTGTGCAACAAATCACTGAGTATAATGGGAAACACTGTCAAACCCCTATACTCCTACAGCCTCAGAACGTAAGAGTTTTATAGATGCCTCCATGGCAAGATTTCCCAAATAGCTTTGGAAGTGGCGTTTGTATTCTAATCTTTTCCATCATGAGAACTTTGCCTTTATGATTACTTGTACATCATGGTATAAAGTGACCATTAATATATGACAGGGACTTCTAGACCCTGAAATAAACGGCATTAAGAGGACTAAAAACTCTAGCCTAAGAAAGCACTCCTTGGACAAGAACAAGACATTGGGTTACTTACTTTCACAAAAGCCCCACTTTTGATCTTTCTTGTAATCATAGGTTGTTGCACACCAAAGCCTGCCATCTTCCCTCCCATCTGCAGTGCACTCTGCATACTCCTTCTCCATAAATAAGAAGGGGAAGTGGCAAGGCTCACCATCTGCAGTGCCTCCAATAGCTGTCAAAACTGAAAATACATACCCAGGAATTAGATAGCTTTCCTTTATTCCACAAATTAAAGTCATCTACTATGTACAGGAAAGCACTTCTATGTTGGTTTTCATTTCTACGAACTGCATTTAATCAAGTTTTCAGTAGAATTTCTAATTTACAAAAGCCTGAAAAAACAATTATTTTTCTAAATAGCACTTGGAAAAAAAATTATTCTTATTTTCAGTTAGGAAATGAAACAGAAGGTATGTGGTTTCTTATATTCCTTAGTTCTAAGCAAAGAAAATATTTTTGTTTAGACTGAAGAAAGCAAGTTGCAGTTACACTTTTATTGCCTACCAAAATAAACAGTCCTTCCTTTCACTTTCTCTCCCTGCACTCCCTTCCTCATGCAAAAGACTACCCTCAAAGTGCATACCAGTGCATATATTCATTTTATCCCCTGGGTTAGACGTAATCATGACAAAACTGCTCACATTGCCAAATATGATACTGAAAGTACTTGAATATCAGCAGGGAGTACACTTAAAACATACAACTGTAAGAAAAGACATAAATGAAACCACTACGAGTCCAGTCATTTTCTATTGTTGCATATACTTACATTGAAAACTATTTCACTTTGCCAATATATTTAAGTTGCATTCAAAATTACTTTGAGCAGTACAATTTAGCATTTCTCATGCACCAGAACTTCAAAGGTTACCGATTCCAATATTGCAATATTTTAAAATAAAAATCAATCTTCTATGAAGACTAAGAATTATCTTCATTTTTTGAAAAAGAAATTATTACAATTAGCCTTTTATAAAGCTTTTTCTCTTTCACTAAGCTAAATCCAGCTGTTGGGTTCAGCTTCATTTGAAGACATTTGCAAAGTCATGCAGTTGAGAACGTCAATTATACGGTGTTTTTTCAAGTTAAGTTTGTAATTCTTGTAGTTCTAGAGAAAGCTAATTCTTTCTTCTAGGGCTACAGATGCTAATTCTAAGGCCTAGATACCATACTAATTAAAAAAATTCATGTTAATTTTTTGAAGCATAAGGAATTCTCCAGGACTTGTTAGCCTGCTCAAATTGCTCGTCATAATTTGATTCCTTGGCAGGTGTTCCACCACACCACTCTCAAGTTAATTATTCCGTAACACACAAGGCAAAGTGTAATCTTCAGAAGTTGCATTAAAAAATAATGTGTCCAGAGGTAATTAGCCTGGAATCACTTTAGACATCTGTCGAACACGGAGTAATGCACACACTCATGCTAAGGGTACATGTAACTACAACTGATGGGACCTTATCACTGTCACTTGAACAAACTCCAGGTCCAGGATATTAACGCTACCTAAGAACTTGAAGTTTTACTTGTATTGTCTAGTACCATGTCTCCTGTATTGAAAGCAACTGGACATGAACCATCTACACAGTGCTCCACATGAGAGTTAGCTGTACACTAAAGTTATGAAATTACTCTGCCCCTGTCCTCCCCCTTGCCTTTTTTTAATTCTAAGTTCAACCGTAATGCTAATTTTTCCCCCCAGATAGTAACAAATACTAACCCCTAAAGCAACACAGCAATGTGATCACAGGATAAAATGCTCACCACAGTTATTTTCTCATGTACTTAAAGAATGATAAATACAGACTGAGGCAAATAATTTACTCGGAGGATAAATTACGTTGTTGTCAAACCGAGTAAGCAAGTAGCAATTTACCTGGCTTACTATGTCTGAATAAAGTATAATAAGGACAAAATATAATGATAAAATACAATATATCTCATCTCATACTTCACACTGCAGGAAATCCAAATATAGATTACTTATAAGCACTGGTTACATTACGGCAAGATTCCTCCAAATAGGAAAACAAACGCAGTAGGAATTGCCAGCTCTGTATAAATTTGTGGGCAGTTAGCAGCAAAAACTGTCAGTATGGAACTTGACTATTACAAAAACGTACAACACAAAAAATAAATAACTAAAAAAATACCATTTCTTTTACACACAAGACCTCCTCACTAATCAGAAGACAGCAGGACAACTTCTTTCTTAGAAGGTTAAAAGCATTAGTAGTACTAATTCTAAATTACTGAAGATGAAATTTTTTTCTGCTAAATATCCTGCAAAATACACGTGGAAACTTAAAGAATATTATTTTTTTCCATGCAATCTCATGACCATACACAGGAGCCAAACTGTATTTAGAAAAGCTTTAATCTCCCTTAATGCAGTCCTGTCACCAGTAGCTCATTCAAGGGATGTAGCATCTGCACCTGAGGCAGATTCTTGTCCTGTTCAGTTAAAAAGTTTGCCAGTAAAGCTGTTCTTCAGCAGGTTTTTTTCCTGCTGGTATACAACTTCTTTTCCTTCAGAATTGCTTTTTGGATAAAAACAGTAATCCTTCCATCCACAGTGCTTATTTACTGCTCAAGAGGTTCCAAGAACTGCACAAGACTTAAATTTATGGTCTTTGAAAGTCACTTGCAGTACTTTGACAGGTGTAGTTAAAAACCTGAGTTGCCAGGGAGCAAGTCATCTGGTTACACCTCTCTGATGTGAGATTAAAAGTATCTTAAAGTTTACTTTTGAAATAGACTGCACTGACTAAATATGGTGCTTAGCTCACTGTTCTGTGACAGCAAGCTCTTCAGGGGATTTTATGAACCTTTTTCCTGTACAATACCACACCTATTAACAGCAATACTTAATGCTATGACTGAATTTCTACAAACTATATACTAGTTCTGCATTAATAAGGAAGGCTAATTAGAAAACACTGAAAGTTAGCCTATAACAGAGCCCATTTCATAACTCCTGCTTTCTTTTGACAGTTGAACCCGAGTTGAGAAGATTGACTTCCCTTAAAAAATATAGTTACATGGTAATATTAGTATTTGTCTAAGATTTACTTTCTATGGACAAGTGAAAGGGATTTTTCCTGTACAGGCTAGGGTACTCAACTGTGCCATCTAGTTATCATCCACTACTAACTGGAAGTCAAAATGAAGCATAATAAAATTTATTTTTATTGGTAGTAAAAACAAAATATTTGAATTTCCTGGGATAGGCACAAGGACATAAAGTTTTACCTATATTTAAAATTATAAACTTACTGAGGTTTACATGCAATTTAGATATTGCCCTAAGGCTCCCAATGCCATCCTAGGAAGCTTGTCTTTGCATCACAGTTTGTTCCTTCTCTGTTAACTGATTTTCCAGGCAAACAGCAAGCAGGCTGAAACACTGATGCCATTTCTCCTTCTATGGTTGGTATACACACACAGCACTGTATGTGTACTTGAGTCCTATTGGAAGAAATCAGGGCTTTCTCCATTTTATAATGAAAGCTTTCCAGGAAGATGGGAACAACAAGAGTTATAGGAAACCCTTTCAAACGCACCTAAAAATAACCACTCAGATTTCAATCACAATATAGTTGAAAACTTTTTGATGTTACTTTCTAATGGAAAAGGCAGCAATTACCATTCCATTCCAGAAAGATTAAGACACTAATTATTTCATATGTTCAAAATTACTATTCCTGTTCATCCACACGCCAAAGTTACTCAGATGCATCTTTCTTGCCACCTGTTCAAAAGTCTGTGAGCAGTTACCTGGACTCTGTATTTCTACTTCTTCCAAATCCTTATTTAATAGATTTGACATTTCTAGAGAGTTCACTTCTTCCAGCAAATTCTCTTTCTCCTCCTCTTGACTACGAAAGTTCGCTTCATCCTCCGATTGAGAGTCTGATTTCCCTGATTCAAGGAAGATCTGACCTGCTACCACTCGAGTTCCTGAGGAATGGTCCTTTACCTGGTCTTCTGCAGATAAAGACTGAAGGAAAGCAGCCAAATAATTTAGAAGATTAGAAACTGAACAGCAGCAACGGGCAAAAACACGTTACTTTTAAAAGATATGATTAATCAACATACTAAGTTTAAACAGTAGCATCAAAAGGAAGTTGAGCTACTATCAGCTCTCGTTGACTCTCTTAGTTCTTTGAAAAAAAAATTCAAAGACATAACACAACATTAATTCTTCTGATGCACAGAAGAAATGAATGAGACAGCAAGAGCTACAGTTGAGCTACCTCTATCAGCTCTCGTTGACTCTTAGTTCTTTGAAAAAAAAAAATTTCAAAGACATAACACAACATTAATTCTTCTGATGCACAGAAGAAATGAATGAGACAGCAAGAGCTACAGAACAGTTTAAAACAGGAATCAAATCATAGTTCTGAATTTCAAACCTTTGCTCTCACTCCACAAGACAGAATGACTAGAAACTTATTTCCTCACCTTTGACTCCAATGATTCATCTTGATTTCCCTCTTCATCTACAAGAGATGTTACAAGTCAGTAAAAAGCCTTTCCATGAGTAATTTTCTCAAAAATAAAAATAAGTTTAGCTATAATATTGTACCATGGTTCTGAAATACTCTAGTGTACTAAGTTGACAAATGCACTTCAGAAAGACCTTGTTAGTGTTGCCAGGAAGAATCAAACGTTTCACAGATGATGTTCCTCCTTAAATTATGCCAACACAACTGTGTGTCCAATAGAGGAAAAGAGTGTGGACTTTGTTTTTTAAACCCAAATCAATTCTCTAGATTACTACACAGTCTGAATGTTCCAGTCCAACTGAAGTACTTAAAAAGGTATGCATGAAGTGAAAAGGGCCTATGGAACCCAAGGTTTTTAGTCATCAAAACAGCTTTAGTGTGAACAGTTTCAGTAGCGACCAGAAAGTTACATTAATATCACCCCACTTACAATTAAACATTGTTCTTTATAGAATGCCAATTCATTTTGCCTGAATGGCATATTCAAACCTTTTATATAGAGGTCTCTCTTCAGAACTGTGAGAAATTAGTTCGTCTTTAAGATACTGTTCAAGAGCTACAAGCCTTGTTTAACAGTCATCTTGCCTGAATAGGCTATGATATGATATTTCACTATAAAGATTAGAAGGAGAAGAAATGGTAAAGAAGAAAGGCTATTAGGCATAGACCTAAAGGAACAGATGTGAAAAGGAGGGTGAAGATAATCAGAAAAACTTATTTATGACAGTTTTACTATTGTTTTGCAGAATGGTGTCGCTTATTTTCTTTATTCCTGTAACTTAAATGGGCTACTCACAGTGCTTTGAACAAGTTAGTTTGAACTATCATCTCGACTGAAAGCCTCCAATATTGTCACAGAAAAAACGTGACTGTTTCCAGTTATCAGTATCTGATACCACCTCATTTAGGTAAGCAAGCCTCCTCCCCAGGTTTGAAAGTAGATGCTACAGGCCTCCCTCTCTCCAGTACACAACTCAAACTGAAATAAAAGCTCAAAATATAAACAGATGACTAAGCAAAGCCACCACTAACTTCTACTACATTTATGAATCCCTCGCTTCTGAGACTCTGGGGTGTGTAATGCCCTATAGCAGTGCTAAGGCATTGACAGGCTGGAGACCCACACTATGACCAGAAGATGTACTTAAACTGATAGAAGTTAGTGCCCTGTACATGAGATACACCATTTAGTGTGTTATGGTTAGCTGTTAAAGACTACTTGCACAAATACTGAATGCCAACTCTCCAAAAGTTTATAGAACTCTGCTGACTTTCTGTAAGCATTTGGCAGCAAACAAAACTTGCATACTTTTCATCCTCATGCAAGTGTCTTACCAAAGGTAGAATCATAGTATCATAGGTAAATAATTTCTGAAGTGACAAACTACAAACATGAGGCTTTACTGGCTTCATGTTTTGAAGACTATTACTGTAACAGAGTAACTGTGGGTATTTGCAAGGAAAGGTCTAATCTTGGAAGCCAGATTCCAGAAAGCAATTTCCACATTGTTACTTGAAGTTTAACTTTTGATTAGAACAAATAAGTAAAAAGATGAGGATCAACTTTAAGCTGTAACAGCATAATAAAAATCAAGAAAAAACGTGAAGACTTTTAAGTGAAGCTGCAAAACTAAGATGACAAGAAGATTGACAGTGCAACTCAGAGAAATAGGTAATAGTCTGTTGAGCATACTGAAGAGGATGTAAAGCTCAAAGTTTGACTGCCAGCAGACACGAGATTAAAAAGGATCTAGAACAGTCAGTGTGGGTAAGCAGCTGTACCCTACAGGTCCAAAAATGAAAGCGTGTAGAGCTCTTCAGAAAAACTAGTGGAGACAGCAGAGAGTACTCCAGATGAAACAGACACTCCAAGCAGCAACCAAGACAGCATAAGAAGAAACCAATTTGGAAAAAACTCAAATGAGGCATAAGAAAAAACAAGGCTAGCTGCATTCTTCATAGAGACCACACTGCTTATTAGCTTGAGGAATCTAACAGATAAGGCTGATTGTGATAAGTTGTAAGAAATTCTACCTCTGAACTTCAACACTTCAGATCAATATACAGCAAAAGTACGTATACGGATACTTGCTGCTCTTTTGTATTTTGAAACTATGAGACAAATTTGAATTTACCATGTTTCCCACAAATTACATTCTATTATCTGAAATAATTTTCATCTAAAATCAAATGCCAGCCCTACAACTTCAATCTCCGGAGCTTGTCAAGAGATTCAGACATGCTCCAGGAGTGGAGGGAAAACAAAGACAGGGTTAACCTACCCAGTAGCTTGTGGGCTGCTATTAATATATACAAAGCATTTACACAGTACCTATTACTGCAGTAACAAACATGATGTTATTTTTAACAGCTATACCACCTAAGGTGTTTGTTTTTGTCTGCTTAAAATCAGCCTATACGCCTGATATAGACCATTCCAGCTTTTTGGTAAAGGCTTTACTAAGTGATTTCAATTTGTGGAAGGTTGACTTTACAACAAAAGATCACACAAGGTCAGATATAAATAGGGTATACTATCTAAGCACACATATCAAAGAACAATTTTATTGTAACTTCATATGCAAGGCAAAAGGTTTACTAAATTGAAAGGCAAGAGACATCTGAGCAACATACGGTAGAGCTCATTAAATGTTTGCTCTTCTCCCTTGAAAGTAAATAATCCTGCTTCATTTCTATTGCATCATTTAAATTTTCTCTGAAAGAACCAGCTTTGTTATTAAGAAGTTTTACTTGAATAATTGTTTTCAAAATAGTGCTTCCAAAACAGCACTAAAGCTAGTTTAGTATTAGTTTAACTCTTCTTAGCTCTGGGACTTCCTTCTGAGTTAGGCAGATGAGGTTGCAGTGATGACTGATAATGTGACTAGAGGAGGGATCGCTTACAGCCTTGTTATTTCACAGAACTGCTGACTAATATGCACCCACTACTCATAGAAGTGTGTTTACTTCTAAGAAACAGTTAAGAAAACTATTCTGAAAGTGTTAATGAAAGATCCATGGAAGGTCACAGTTTGACCTAAGAACAGCTTATTAGTCAAAGCTCAACTACTGAAGAAAGTCACAGATGTTATGTTTGTGCACCTGCTTCAGAGATTAAAGCTGATAGTTTAGTTTGTTTTTCCACAGTTAAAAAAGTAACTGACTTTTTTTTTAAATTTGGGTCTGTTACCAAGGCTGCCTAATTCTACAAACCCCTTCTAAAAAGACCAACTGGAAATCAATCCTACCATTTGCTAAACAAATTAGGGAGATGCAATGATATATTAAAACGAAAAAGGCGGCAAAAATACTTGTGGCTGAAACAGGCAGCTGACCATGTTGTACAGAATGCTTCATTTACTAACAGTTCTGAGCTGTAGACACTGCTGGGTGCTCTCATGCCCAGCTAGGACTCCAGAGCACGCTATACTACTAAACACTTGTTTCAACCATCCATCACTTCATACATAATTAAAATCAGCTTTAGAATGTATTAATTTTGCTTCAATTAGAAAGAACAGTGTTCAATCAGTCTAATTAAATATAGCAAAAGTACTCTGGCAGCCTATGCTAGATAAAAAGATCCTAACATACGCTGGATAAAGATCCTACCATTTTGTGAGAATTACCATTTTCAAGAGAGCACTATGGAGAGAAAGATAGAAACAGTTCCAGCATCGTTTGGAACTGTTGGGCTCCCTCAACCTAAGTTCTGCTGTATTAGAAGAACAAATCAGCAGACAGCCTGTAAGACTAAAGGACTGCTACTACCAGACAACAAATACTATTAGTTTCAATGTTATAATGGTCACACACTTTAGGGAAATAGCCAAAAATTCAGTAAGTGCAAGCAGTTGGCAGTCTCCCAAAGCTCTGATGAATGCCCTAACTGATCCCTGTAGTTAGCTTCCTTCCAGTTCTTGCTAAGCTCTTCAAGCTTCAAGTACTATCACAACAAAGCCACTAGGAAGAGTCTGTGTGCTCTAAAGTGATCACCAAAGTGGAGTGTGTACATCCCAGGGGTGCACTAGCTAACCCATTGGGGTGCAGGAAGAAAATTTTTATACCATTAATAAATACATCTTTTCTTAATACAGTGTCTATTTCACCTTTATCTTATTCTTGCTTCATTTTTGGTTTTGTGCATGTTTTATAATGTACATAGTATGTTAGTACAGTAGTACATACATGTAATTTTTAATAGGTGAAACATTGAAGGTAAATGCTCAAAAATTTTTTTACCAAGACAGGTGCATGAACAAAAAATGTTTGGCAACAACTGCTGTAGAGCATCCACCAAGTATTTTCTGTGGTATTTTTAGGTATTTCTTTCAATGTGCGTTTTGTGCAAGTGACTAGTTAGACTCTGAAAGAGAATGCAAGCTCTGTTTATCCTATTCTTGGAGGAAAATTGAAATCTTAAGAAAAAATTACCTCAGATTGCCTCTCATCTATTTTTCAACTGTTAAATTCAGCACAGAAACAGACTCCATAGTATAGATGCTATTCCTATTACATGAACCTCTAAAACATGCAGTGAGTTAAGCAAAACCCTTGAGTGTCATCTATTCAGCAACTAGTTTCAAAGTATCCTTGGTAGCAAGTACATTGTTCTCAGCTACAATCTGTGCACTGTATTCATTTTAGTGCAACTACAAGATTAAGATACAGGTCAGGCCTCACCTTGAATACAAATCTTTTTTCCTCCCCCCTTGCAATCGCTGGCAAACTATTTACAAAACTGACACTGCAGCAGTTCCTCTATAGGAATTGAGATTCCTTATCTGACGACAAGGCAACAAGTTTAGGGAATGTTTTTCAGTTCGGTAAGTAAAATCAGAAGGGTCAGGGAAAGCCACTGAGCTCTGTCTTTTGAGAGAATAGGTACAACAGTTTCCTACAAGTATATGACTGTGCTCATTTGTCCTACCAGTTAATGAGACTGCATGAAAACCTCTGCCTGTAACTGAAGTTAGCCATGGAAGGTGCAGAAT